TTCTAGCAAGAACGTTTTCTTACCTACGTTAAAGCCACAACGTGATTTGTCAACTTCTATTTACCCTTCATAAGGACCCTGTTCATCGATTCCGCTCCAACTAAAGTAGGAGAGACAGACACCCGCCAGCCACCTTATGCAACTAGTGCATGTTAGTCGGTGGAACCGGTCTCACGTAAGCGTACGTGTAAGGTTGGTCCGGGCCGCTTCATCCCACAATACCGCTGAAGCAAGAAAGGACTAGTAACGGCAAGAAAGTTGACAAATCTACGCCCACAACAAATTGTGTTCTACTCGCGCAAGAAGAACTACGCATAGACCTAGCTCATGATGCCACTTTTGGGAACGTTGCAGAAAACAAAAATTTTCCTACTCGTTTCACCAAGATCATCTAGGAGTTCATCTAGCAACGAGTGATTAGATGCATCTACATACCTTTGTAGATCGCGAGCGGAAGCGTTCAAAAGAACGGTGATGATGTAGTCGTACTCGACGTGATCCAAATCACCGATGACCAGCGCCGAACGGACGGCACCTCCGCGTTCAACACACGTACGGAACAGCCACGTCTCCTCCTTCTTGATCCAGCAAGGGAGGGAGGAGAGGTTGAGGGAGATGGCACCAGCAGCAGCACGACGGCGTGGTGTTGATGGAGCTGCAGTACTCCGGCAGAGCTTCGCTAAGCACTATGGAGGTGGAGGAGGTGTTGGGGAGGGAGAAGGAGGCAACCAAAGGCCAAGGCGTTCAGGTATGAAGTCCCTCCTCTCCCCCACTATATATAGGAGGGCCAAGGGGGGGTGGCCGGCCCTAGGAGATCCAATCTCCTAGGGGGTGCAGCGGCCAAGGGGGGTTTCCCTCCCCCCCAAGGCACCTAGGAGGTGCCTTCCCCTCCTAGGACTCTTCCCCCTTCAAACCCTAGGCGCATGGGCCTATGTGGGGCTGGTGCCCTTGGCCCATTAGGCCAAGGTGCACCCCCTACAGCCCATGTGGCCCCCCGGGACAGGTGGACCCCCGGGACCCTTCCGGTGGTCCCGGTACAATACCGATAACCCCGAAACTTGTCCCGATGCCCGAAACAGGACTTCCCATATATAAATCTTTACCTCCGGACCATTCCGGAACTCCTCGTGACGACCGGGATCTCATCCGGGACTCCGAACAACATTCGGGTTACTGCATATACATATCCCTACAACCCTAGCGTAACTGAACCTTAAGTGTGTAGACCCTACGGGTTCGGGAGACAAGCAGACATGACCGAGACGACTCTCCGGTCAATAACCAACAGCGGGATCTGGATACCCATGTTGGCTCCCACATGCTCCACGATGATCTCATCGGATGAACCACGATGTCGAGGATTCTATCAACCCCGTACGCTATTCCCTTTGTCTATCGATATGTTACTTGCCCGAGATTCGATCGTCGGTATCCCAATACCTCGTTCAATCTCGTTACCGGCAAGTCACTTTACTCGTACCGTAATTCATGATCCCGTGACCAGACACTTGGTCACTCTGAGCTCATTATGATGATGCATTACCGAGTGGGCCCAGTGATACCTCTCCGTCATACGGAGTGACAAATCCCAGTCTTGATCCATGTCACCCAACAGACACTTTCGGAGATACCCGTAGTCTACCTTTATAGTCACCCAGTTACGTTGTGACGTTTGGCATACCCAAAGCACTCCTACAGTATCCGGGAGTTACACGATCTCATGGTCTAAGGAAAAGATACTTGACATTAGAAAACTCTAGCAAACGAACTATACGATCTTGTGCTATGTTTAGGATTGGGTCTTGTCCATCACATCATTCTCCTAATGATGTGATCTCGTTATCAATGACATCCAGTGTCCATAGTCAGGAAATCATGACTATCTGTTGATCAACGAGCTAGTCAACTAGAGGCTCACTAGGGACACGTTGGTGTCTGTTATTCACACATGTATTACGATTTCCGGATAACACAATTATAGCATGAATAAAGACAATTATCATGAACAAGGAAATATAATAATAATGCTTTTATTATTGCCTCTAGGGCATATTTCCAACAGGAACAATCTTCCAATGCTTCCCGAAAGGCTATCATTTGCACTTCCGGTCGCGCGGCCCTACTGAAATGTTCTGTACCAAAGAGTGTCTCATTGAAGTCACCAAGACATAACCATGCCTGGTGCGGTATATCATTCAGCATCCTCAAGCAGCGCCAACTATGGTGCATGTCTTCTCTCCTTGGTGCACCATAGAAGCCCGTGAACCTCCATCCAGGAGTAGACATATCAGCTTTCTGAACCATAACGTCAATGTGTCCAGAACTGTAATTCTTTAGCTCAACCTTCACCTCACTTGACCAAAGCAAACCAATTCCACCACTAAGTCCCGCACTATCCACTGCAAAGCATCCCGCAAAGCCAAGGCTTTGCTGCAGAATCTCAACTCGACTAGCCCTGATCTTCGTCTCCGAAACAAAGAGCAAAGCGGGCCCTTCTTGCTTCGTTAGTTTACGAAGCTCTCGAACTGCCTCGGGGTTCCCAAGCCCCCGACAGTTCCAGCTCAGGCATTTCATGGCTCCTGGCAGGGCTGACTAGCAGCCGCTGCCGAATTTTCAGACGATGGGGGGGGGGGGTAGGTTTTTTCTTTTTTGGCTCTCTTACTTCAGTACCTCCATCCCTAGCTGTGTTACCATTGCCATCCACTTTCTGAGCTGAAAACACCACCATATCAGTTGCAATTCCGTCTGGAATAGTCACATTGCCAGAACTTGGTAGGGCCAGAGGATCAACCCTACGATAAACTTTTGCATCCTGCGGTCCTCCCTGCCTCTTATATATAGGCCTCTTCTTTGGGGAGTTGACCTCATCCTCTCCCCTAGGCTTGCTGTTCGACGATGATGCATCTTTTTTACCAGCTGCAGAGTTTTGCGTTCCCTTGGACGAGCAATCCCCCGAACTAGCACCCTTCCTGTCCTCCGGCGCTCGTAAGTTTGTATTAAACGACAGGTTACCCTTTTCATCACGAGTGCCCGGAGTGGGGCAAAATAAATCTGCATGGCCCAGACGACCACACGAGAAACAGAAATTCGGGACGTGTTCATACTGAATATCATACCAGTCCCTGGATTCCCTCTTTGCTGAGTCAATTAGAATCCATCGCCTCAAGGGTTTATTGACATTGATCGTCACACTAGCTCTCAGGAACCCTCCCACTGGATCAAAGTGGACAGATGTTGCATTAGGATCAATTTGTTTAGCAACTTCTTTCCCCCACCTATCATTCTGCATGTTGAAGGGTAAATTTGGGACTCTAGCCCATAACTGTAACTTATCAAACTTAAGCTCTGACGGCCTCATGCATGCATCAAAATCCGCCAGCACTACACGCGATCACGATCACGGCGATTCTCAAATTCAGCCACAAAGGTGTTCTCGCCCACCGGCTTAAAGGACAAACCCCTAGGGTTTCCAATTGATGGTAGTACTTGACTTGTGGCCAAACATACTTTATCCTGACTTGCAAAATGTCGGTCTACGAAATAGCAGTCCAGTATAGTGGTGCGGTTGCATCCTCGTCAACGCTTGCTTGCTCGCACGTGGAAAGCTTTCTTAGCCTGCAAGCTACACTAACCACGAAGTCAGTCAGCTTTTTTAGTAGAAAAAGGGAAGATTGAGTAATAAAAATATAGTTATTCAACGCAAAAGAGAGCTACTATAACAGATTGAAATGCCAGACGAAGCAAACCGGGCAATGCATGTGTTGCATTGTTTTCGTTGCGTTTGCTTATGCACAGCCGTCGGAGTCCTTTGGGCGTGTCTCAGTTTGTTCCCGCATGGACGGCGAGGGCAAAGGCGCCGACGGGGACGGCGCGAGGCCGCGGCGTCGTCGACGAGGGCTCACCTGGACGTCGCCGACGGAGTGCGTGGCGGCTAGCGGGCGGAAGGAAGGCATTGTGCTGCTGACCGCCGCTCGAAGTCGACGGGGACGACGCCGCAGCCAAAGGAAGAAGAGCCGCGGCCCGTTGGATGCGGATCGGACGACGGAAGGGGATTCAATTTAGGAAGGAATGAAAAAAAAAATGTCTCAAGCGACTGCTCGTTGGTCCGGTGCAGCCGTCCTGACTTGGCGTGTGAGCCGCGCAGGCGCCCCGAGCCGAGAGGGACGTGCCCTGCTCCTCCTCCTCCCGGTCGGGTCTCCGGCATCCGAAATCCTTGAACCTGACGGGGGCGCACGCAGCAAATTCCGTGTAAAACGGCGCGCATGCATGCCGCTGAATCTGAATTTTGAGAGGGAAATTGCGTGCGTAGACCGCATGCCGTGTCGGTCCCAACAGGAATATATTCCTCCGGCCGGTCGACGGTGATAGACAAAGACGTGCGACCGCGACGACTCCTAGGTTCGTTTCGAGCTGTCTTTTCCTTTAAAAACTACAGTTTGACTCGATCCATCCATGCTTGGTGCTTCCAGGAAATTATACAGTACTTGAGGAATACTTGCCAGGTCACAAGTCATGCGTGCAAGTCTTTCCTACCATGACGGACACACGTCGCCACGGGGTTGGTGCTGTCCGGCTAGTGAAGCCGCACGTCATCGCGTTACACCACGTCCCGGTGACGCAAATGGGTCGTCAACACCCAGGTCAAATGCTTTCAAAATATTCTGAAATATACTACTGTGCTCCCTTTGTTGAGTAAAAATAAACTGTGTACTGTAGTAGTACGTATAATTTTCCTCACTTTGTTGCTGTAGTGGCGAAAAGGTCGTCGATCGCCCGCGCTCTCGCTGGTCAAAGCAGCAGAAGCTCTCCGCGTTGTTTCTTTCTCCACGGCACGTCGGCACCCGACAACCATTCCAACCCCCACCCCCTCACCTGTCCCGTCCGCCTCGGCTGCCGTAGTAGGAGGACCTCTGCTCAGCTCACCGTCACCTCCCCCCAAATCGCCGACGCGTCCTCCCTCCCTCCCTCTCTCTCTCTCTCTCTCTCTATCTTTCTCAGCCATGGCGAAGCAGCTTGCCGTGCACGCTCTCCTGCTGGTGGTCTTGCTCCTCGCGCTCTCGTCCGTTCACGCTGGCAGCAACTCGACGGCCTCGGCCGGACCACTGTATGGCATCGAGTTCCCGCCGTACAACACGGCCGTCGCCGACGCCGGCTGCGACGGCAGGCTGGTGGCCGAGGAGGCGGAGCTCGCGCGCCAGCCACCCTCCCTCAAGCTCCACATGACCCACCGCTCCGCCGCCGAGGACACCGCGGGGAAAGCCTCCTTCTTCCTCGACTCGGCCGAGAAGGACGCGGCCCGCATCGGCACGATGCACGGCAGGAGGGCCGCGCTGGCCAGGAAGGGCTCGCGGCCGCGGCGGGCGCTGTCGGAGAGGGTGGTGGCCACGGTGGGGTCGGGCGTGGCGGTCGGCTCCGGGGAGTACCTGGTGGACGTGTACGTGGGCACGCCGCCGCGCCGGTTCCGCATGATCATGGACACCGGCAGCGACCTCAACTGGCTGCAGTGCGCTCCCTGCCTCGACTGCTTCCACCAGACCGGCCCCGTCTTCGACCCCGCCGCCTCCGCCTCCTACCGCAACGTCACCTGCGGCGACGCGCGCTGCGGCCTTGTCTCCCCGCCGCCAGAGTCTCCGGCGGCGCCGCCAGGGAGGACGTGCCGCAAGCCGCGAAGCGACCCCTGCCCGTACTACTACTGGTACGGCGACCAGTCCAACACCACGGGGGACCTGGCGCTCGAGGCCTTCACCGTCAACCTCACGGGCGCCGCCGGGACCACCCGGCGCGTGGACGGCGTGGCGTTCGGGTGCGGCCACCGCAACCGCGGCCTCTTCCACGGCGCCGCGGGGCTGCTGGGGCTGGGCCGCGGCCCGCTGTCGTTCGCGTCGCAGCTGCGCGGCGTCTACGGGGGGCACGCCTTCTCGTACTGCCTCGTCGACCACGGCAGCGCGGCCGGGAGCAAGATCATCTTCGGCCACGACGACGCGCTGCTCGCGCACCCGCGGCTCAACTACACGGCCTTCGCGCCGGCCGCGGCCGACGCGGCGGACACCTTCTACTACCTCCAGCTCAGGTCCGTCCTCGTGGGCGGGGAGGCGGTGGACATCCCGTCCGACGCGCTGGCCGCCGGCGGCACCATCATCGACTCCGGCACGACGCTGAGCTACTTCCCGGAGCCGGCGTACCGGGCGATCCGGCAGGCGTTCGTGGACCGCATGAGCCCGTCCTACCCGCTCATCGCCGGGTTCCCGGTGCTGAGCCCGTGCTACAATGTGTCCGGGGCGGAGAGGGTGGAGGTGCCGGAGCTGTCGCTGGTGTTCGCGGACGGCGCGGCGTGGGAGTTCCCGGCGGAGAACTACTTCATCCGGCTGGAGCCGGAGGGCGTGATGTGCCTGGCCGTCCTGGGCACGCCGCGCTCCGGCATGTCCATCATCGGCAACTACCAGCAGCAGAACTTCCACGTGCTCTACGACCTCGAGCGCAACCGGCTCGGCTTCGCGCCGCGCCGGTGCGCCGACGTCTAATTAGTCCGGCCACCGTCCATTTTGACTTACTGATTGGGTTGATTGATTGACCGGTAGGAGTGTGTAGGTGGCTCTGCTGACTGGATGTGAAGAAGAAACAGTGAAGAAACTGGGTTTGGTGTAGAAAGAAACTGGGTTTGGATTGACAAACAAACAGAGTCTCTCTAAGAAGAGAGAGGTTTTGGTGAACTTTTGACCAATTCGGCTGCTTGTTTGGTCGAATTTTTTGCAAGAACTTGCTTGATTTTCGTTTCGTTTTGTTGTATAGATGGACGGACTGTGATGACATGATAAATGTATCTCGTATTGGTGTCTCTCTTGGTGCTCCTTCGGATATGTGTGAGCGTGATACCACCGATTTCTTCCTTTGCGTCGTCCGTCGATGTGTGCGTTATGGACGGCAGCTGCGACACCTTTGTCGCACAGACGAGCGCACGGCGTGCGTGCGTGGTGCCGGCCGTATTGATTGGGGTCAAGGGAGTAGGCGGTGCGGCGGTGGTCACCCTCCCACCGGACCGCCGGTGTGGAAGCAATGCTCGGTATCCGCTCACCTCACGGGCCAGTCCTGGTAGGAGCACGGTCGTCAGCGATCAGTACGTGCTATATTCTCAAGTGGAAGCGGCGTCCCGCTCCTCCCTCCTTGGCTCGCCTCCAGACGGCGACCCGAGCCCCCACGCGCACGCACCGACCCGAGCAGAGCAGAGCGCTACGACGTGCTCTGCGCTGCTGCTTCATCGGTGAGACGCCCGTCGTGCTTTGCGCCCATCACATGCTCCTGCCTCGATCCGACGCATCAGCAGAGAGTACATACTATACAATATACAACAACTCGTACCTACCGTCGAGCATTTCCAGGTGATTCGTACGTACGTGCACCGGAGTATGTCGCGTCTACCGAGCCGGCCATGCGCCGAGCAATCTCTAGCGGTACCAAACTGTTCTTTTCTTCCTAAAATGATAAGTGCCACATGCGTGGCGCGAAGCCCTTCGAAAGAAAAAATTAACGCAGAAAAAATGGAAATTGATGTAGAAAATATTGTCATCGTCGAGTCACTAAATTTATCGTAAAAACCTTTCGTAGTTGCGTGTGTTCGTGCCACACGTGTGACACTTATCAGGGTTTTTTTTTCTCCATTTTTTTAAAAAAAAAGAAAAACTGTTTCTTTCTGAAGGGATCGCATATCTTATGTACGCATACTGAATGTAATAACGTCTTATATTATGAGATAGAGGGAGTATACTATAATCAGAAAAATAAGTTGATAGTAACATTTGTAAGTTGCACACAGAAGTAGATTGCAGACGATTCGATTACACTCACTTCAAATGTTGCTAAGAACAAATTCTTCAAATAGAAAATGATGATCTCTAGTAGAAGTAAATTGCTTTTGGTCTCTCTTCGGTCTTTCTATTCCGATGACTAAAAGGAACGGGATGATATACGTATACATGTATGGAATACTGGTTATTTGTGATTTTCTTGGTGGTGAAAAGGGTTGTCGGGAAACTCAGAGGGTTTACGCACGTGGTGCTGGAGACTGATAGTATCGAGGTGGTTAACCTCTGGAACACTCGTCACAACAGTCGCTCAGTTGTGGCTCCTATTCTTGAAGAAATCGATGAGCAATCTGCTAGTTTTACTTCTTTTGTATTTCAGCATGTAACAGCTAATGTCTCAGCTCACCTGTGTGCAAAACGCGCTTGTACGATGACTGTGACTGAAAGTTGGTTTACCGAAACTCCCAGCTTCCTCGTCAGTAGCTTTCTGGCTGATTGCCCAGTGAATGTGTTTATTTGAATAAAGCTCAGAATTCCCTGCAAGAAAAAGGGTTGACGGGAGAGACAAGCTGCAGGGACCATGGGATGCAGTAGGAACGTAGGAGGACGAGGCAAGGTGCGTCCTGACTTCACAGCCCTTGACACGGCGATGTCTCCCAAACTCTCCTAGCAGCACGGCTTCATCCTCAACACACATCTCACTGTTTGGCCATGGGAACTAATGATAAGGATCAACATGATGATCCTATAGTTTTTGCCTGATCTTTCACCGCAAGACAATTAGATAGCAAACCTTCTAATCACGTGTTCAATGCACGCAACCTGAAGATGAGGAAACGAATCCAGCAAACAAGGTGAAGATGAACAACACGCCTCTAACCTTGGCACGATAATCCTTGATCACATAAGAACCTTCATGCAATCATCACTTTATTTGATAAACAACAGCGCCGTTTCGGGAGGGATGATTCACCACGTGGACACAATGTTCAAAACTCAATCTAAAAACTTTCCCCCCTCTAAACCTAGCCACCGGCCTCCTTATATAGGCATCTAGAAAACTAGTCGGTTGGACATGCCCACACCGAAACACACAAAATAAAAATCCTAAGTGGCCCATAACATGACCTGGAAATAAAAATAGATAAAACTAGAACCGACCAAGTACATGGTTCGGTCACCCCCTTTGGCACACCTCTAACTTGGAGGAGTCCTGAAGTTGGGCTTCACCTCCTCCTTCATGGGAACAACCTGAGATATTGGGATGCCCTCATCAACCAATATCCACTTAATTTACCTTCATAGAAAAGGCTAGACCGTACGAGTTTACACAAAATACAAAAAACAACACACAAAATCTACCAATGAAGCGCGCACAACCCGACCACGACGCCCTTTTCTCCCACCTCGTTGACCGTCTCAAAACCTTCTCTTCTCGTGCATGCACCTCGTCAACAGATTGATTGCCAAAAAATGGCACGAAAAGCATCTTTCATATTGTTGAAAAAATGATTTCAAAATGGTGACACTGAAGGAAGGAATTGTGATGAAGGGAGCAGAGATGAAGTCCTCGCTATCAGATAATATTGATTTCGGCCAACATCGCCGGGAAGTCGGTTGTCGAAGCTCCACCTGATGTATGTCGTACAACCAACACCATCAGGCTCACATATATGCACTCGACCGATTTGTGTCCTTATCTTACCATGGTCAAAGAAGTGCTTATTTTGCACGTATGGAAGTTTCTGATTTAGTAAACTAATGATTAATTTGGTTATTTCTAGCAGGTTTTCTATAAAGCATCCAAACAAAGATTTGATGATGATGCATAGTTAAAATATAGGGCTCAACAAGTTGTAGTTCGGTTACAAGTAAATTGATCTTATTTGTAGAGCTACAGAAGATCGTGGTCTTCTTATTCTCTTCTAAGCAATATATACACTGCAGGGAGGGGAGGAGAAGTATAATGCCACTTGGAAAAAGAGATGACAGATCAGTAGGAATGAAATTGACCATGTTTGCAAGTACTTAGACGTACATCTTGATGAAAAGATAGTCTTAATTTCTACTGGGATTTGACTTACAATTGTAAAAACTTGCTAAGCAAAGTATCAACATAATGTATAGCAGCAAGCTTAAATGTTTAGCTAAATTGGGCAATAAATGAACATGCGCACAGTCGTTTCTCGAATGTTAGCCTCTTGCTGTATGCAAACTGAACTTTCTGCTTTATAAAACTGAAATATGTGCAATGAATGTTGGCTAACAATTTTTGCTTAAAGCTTTGTATTTTCTTTCTCTACTTTGAACGATAATGCAGATGATTGTATCAAATTATTTGAGTTGATTCATCCCAGCTTATTTTCTTATTGTCATATGAAGTCCCATAAAGAAATCTACATTTGCAGCCAACATTTTACGATCTAGCTGTAGTTATTTATTGGTGTGCATCATTTTGCTTGAAGTTTTTGAAATCCTGGTTTCTTCATTTTTTATATATTACTAGCTAGTTAATATTTGTCGAGATACTTACAAGTCTTCGGAAATCTCGTTATCTTTGTCTAGGTCATTTTTGGCAACACCTTCATATTTTTCTTGATTTGTTGGTTCATCTGAAATCATTCTAATCAAACCATTTGTATATCCTTCTGTTCAGTCACTTGCCATTGAATGCTTATATCATGTTGTATGCCTCTTCCCTGGAAGCAACCAAAAAGGTTATTGTTTTATGCTTTGAAAAAATAAGATGCATAGCTAATTACACGTTTCAAGGGTAGAGCATTTATAGTCCTTATATTCCATAAGTTCTGGAGCTATTGAGTAAGCATGGTTTATGGTCAAGGAAATTGAGGGTGCTTGTGAAATTTTCTTCAAGGTCATCAAATCCCTTTGACAATGTTAAAACAGATTGTGACTTGAATTACGACTCAACATATTTTGAAGCCATTTTGTTAGTTACCGAGTAATAACTTACATATTTTTTCTACACCTAATTCTTTCTTCGTGCTCATTTAGGTGTTTACTATATAATCAAATTGGTTTTGGAGCAGGGCGATGACGTAGCAGACCGGTGACGCAATGCCCAAACAAGTGAAGTGGAAGAGCTCGTGGAAGAGGAGATGGGATGACAATGCTGCAATCTTGTCATGATTGTTGTATGTATATTTTAGGCCCATCGAAAAATAAGTCCTAGTGATGTAAATTGGGGACATCTTTGGTGGAGATGGAAGTAGAGCCTGTGTGGAGGCCTGAGACGAAGAGAGCATTATTCATAGTCAGTTCGTGAATGAATATGTGGTGGAAAGAATGTTTTTATGTCCATATGCCCCCCTCTTTTTATACTCAGGTGAGTTGCCTTATGTCTCACCATTTGTGATGGTGTTCCACATTGCACGTCGTACGTAGTAAAGCGAGACAACAAAACAACAACATGGAAGTCACCATGGAGAGTTAAGGGGCAATAGATTGAGATGATGAAAGATGTAAGGATAAAATGGTGATGCACGACAAGTTCTGCAGAAGAGCGGCCAAAGAGGTGCTTGGTGCTATGTTAAATATTGCGTGCATTTGTGTTGTGGTTGAACATTGTGCTCCTCCGTGAGGCGAAAGTTGTGCATTGTTTACAAATGCATTTGTTGACCCTTGGGCATCATGTATGGATCTCATCCAGCTTTCCTTGGTCGTTCTAGTACTTGGTGCTCCTTGTGATGTGTGAGCGAGAC